ACACGCCCCGAAAGTGTCAAATTTAGCTCTCGCCTAGTGCCTCTTTAAAAATTAAACCATGCTTCAGTGCCAGAAGTGGTTCTTTCACGATAGTTACTATAACCCATTCACGTTTTATGTTCATTGAAGAACAGACGAAAATTCAAGAGCTAAAACTAAAGGTGTTAGTAAACGATTAATTCGACAAGTTCCGGGACGACGTGTAGGTTCTATAAAGCGTGAGGTGGTGGGGTCCCGTGGTCTGCAACTGCGGATAGGCTCTTCTATTTTTGTTTCTGACCTAGGAATCACCATAGGCGTATTCGTGTAAACGCTAACACAGAGAATGAATATGACGTTTCAAATAAACTGACGCCGCAGAGTAGAAAGAATTACCGTTGAATGATTCACGAGAAAGTCTATGCAAGCTTTCCTCCACATCGAATTTATGTCCCCGTCCAACCCATTCAATGGTTGTGTCGAAGGGTCTGTATCGGGTCCACATTAACGATTGTTTTTGCTGGTCTAATTGTTGCGTTATAATAGCTATAGTATACCACAGGAAGGTCTATCAACTACTGTTGTAGATTTATCATCCTCTGTTTGGGGCACAGTTAATCATTCGTACGAAATATTAGATCTAAGCGCGTCGCATATACATTACTTAGTCATTTACTTATAATTTTCTTGTTTATTTAACATTATTAGGTTTACATAATGTGGGTATTTTGGGTATTGTATTGTATATTATGTATGCCTACATACTCGAAACCAGGTGCATCATCACCAATCTTAAAAAAATACCCATTTTGTGTCTTTAGTTCAACTATGTCATAATCCTGATTGAAGTTAGTATCGAATGTACAGTCGACGAGTAACGTGGGAGTCCCCATGTCTATAGTAGAAGGAATTCCAGTCAGGAATAATACAAACAATTTGTATCGGAACTTAATCAATTATTTAACGAGATTTCTACATGTAACGATGAGATCTTATGTTTTTTGTCACAACGAGACCACGAATATTCCATTAAAACCAAAGAGTTAGAGAACAAAAATAAAACAATGGCTATTAAATCGAGTCTGTTAGATCGATGGGAATAGATGAAACCTGACCTCTGATGCTATTTACACAAAAATCGTTCTAGAAATGGAAATGTATTGCCTTTGCGACACACATCACATATACAATATTTTACATATGCGTTGTATGAAACTTGTTATTGGATGGAATCCAGTTTAATTAAATTGAAATCATGCTTTCGGTTCTTTTGTTGTGTGTGTGGGGTGGGGGGGGGGGCATTACCATTACTAATACTGGTTGCAGTTATCATAATCTCTTATAGATAATAGCAACTTTTAATAAAGGGCTGAATTCTGAAAGCTTTTGGCACTATTTTTGTTGAATTTATATTTTCTAAACTTTAGCGTTTTCTAGTTAGTGAGATATAATGTAATATTATCAATTTTGTGACAGCTACGAATAACATCTTATTTTCTGCCCTAAACCCATTAGATCTGCACCATGGTTATTTATGCCATAATGATAACTGCACTAAATGAAATATGTATTGATCCTGGCTCACTGTGCCATTTATTAAATGTCCTTAGTTTCCCCTTTGTGATTATCTAAGTGGTCTCACCTTCTACAAACATTAAACAAATAACATTTTGTGGCCTGTACCTCGTTATCCTCATTAATTATTTACAGTTTGTAAAAGCCTCACACCTCCGTGGATTGTTCATAGAATAGAAAAACAAGTATCCACATCTTCATCAATCAAAGGGACAAAGTTAATTTCCAATGTCCGATTGATTCATGAATATGGTATGGTCACGAATACACATGGATAATCCAATTTATGTATTTCATACTAAACAAACACTTTTCAATTTTATGTGATATAACTTTGATGAGTTTCGTAAGATGATGTATTCCTAGCAACTAATATTTCTATTGGTCTACGTATTTCACCATTTATACTCTGGGCATGTGCAATTCTCCTTTGAGATATTTAGACAATTCGCCCGCCACTAACTGGACTAATTTACCAGTTAATGATTTTAACGAATAGACAGCTGCCCTGTACAACTGACAAGAGGAAACCACGCCGGAAGAATCCGATGAAGTTTCTCGGCCAACACCTGGGTCGAACCCGCGACCTCCAAGCTAGCAAGCAAGTGTCTTACTCACTTAGCCACTGTTGCTCCCAAAATGATTTATAGCCGACATATTTTTATATTTGATGCACGAATAACTTTTTCCGCTTATTAATCTTTTCCGGTTTCAGACCACAATTAAAAATGACGTGTCAACAAAATATTCAAATTCGTACGTAATAAAAAAAGTAGGTGCAACTCGTTATTTTTCATATTTAATTCCATTTTGGTATTACAATTCATGTCCATAATATTCCAACAAAATTACGTGTTGTAATTCACCTGCAAAATACCGTATTTTTCGAGGTATAAGTTGATACTTTTTTCAGCAGAAGTCCGGCATTTGTCTTATACTCCGTTTCGACTTCTATACGGATGGAGGTAAGAAAAAAAATGACATCCCGAAAAGAAAATCTTTTGGCAGTAACCGTCGCTCCACGATACCGAGCGAGTGACATCATCGGCTAAATAATAGCACTCGCACGCGCTATCGTGTAAAACAATTAACTACTTACACTAATTAATTTAATCGGAATATTTGTCGACATTTCTCAGCTAGTTTATTTCTTTTTTTAAAAAACATAAACCCCATTCAAAAATTTATCATAAACCCGAGAATATGCCATCATAACAGAATCTTGTCTCTGACATTACTCATGTGATAATTGTCACATTTACATCTCTCGTAATTTCACGGGTCTCGCGAGATTTCTATTTTAGTTTTCGATTATTGTATTATAACCACGGGTGTGTGTGTGGGGGGGCAGCTTTATTTAACGTCCGCTTCCACCGAAGAGATATCGCAGACAAGTTAACGGATATATTGATTTGGGGTGTTATATACTCTTACAATATGTGACATCTATGACTAGTTTATACTAGTTTATGACGAGTCAAATACAAAATACTAACATTAGTGTATAAATGTCGCAATAATGCAGCTCCTCAATACTTATCTGAACTCTTATATGACTACAACCCTATTAGATCACTTCGCTCTCAAAATAAACAGTCACTAGTTGTTCCAAGATATAATTTGAAGTCATATGGGTATAGGTCTTTCAGTTCAGCTGGTCCTAGATTATGGAACGAACTTCCACAACAGATCAAGAATCAACAAACTTTTAATCAATTTAAATCCGCACTAAAGACTTTCCTGTTTCAACAGTTTTACCAGTAGAGCCATTACAAAAAGCGTTTTGAGCATGTGTCAACATGGAGAAGACGCTATATAAAACTTCATTATTATTATTATTATTATTATTATTATTGTCGGCTCACACCAATACGATTAAAATGTCCGACAATGGAGAAACCAAGAGGTAAACACGTAGATTAAAATTTTAAGTTAGAGTTTTCAATAAAAATCGTCGACGTTGGAATTAAAATATTGGCCAACAAGCTATGTGTCTGTTCTGCAGTGCGGCTAATTGTATAGACAGATTGTATGTTTCGTAGGCGCCCCCACCCCCACCCTTTCCTCACCTAAAAAAACAACCTAAACAAGCAAAAATAAAATCTACAATGTCTTTGCAAGTCAGCCTTATTATGACGTTTTTGTCAATCCTAATCTGGAGAGGTTAAACCAATGTAGGACGAGTGTAGCACCATGAGTTTTTGTCAGACTTGGAAAGCGTACATCGCTCAAAACCGATTGCCACATCCGGCGTATAACCAATGCATCGTTTCTTACTACATATCTTACTACATATCTTAGCCCTGTGATCGTCTAGTATTTTCACCTGTTGTCTTTGCTTCCCCTTCACGTTGTGTATTCTCTTCTTCTTATCTAAATAGTTTTAAAAGCCGTTTGTCTTCTCAGGAGTTAAGACGTTTACCTTACCAGGAATAAGAATGCAACAGTTCGTTTTTATATTTTATATATCATAGCTGGATAAATAGATACAAGCGTAGTAAATTACAGTAATTGGACGTTCAATTATCTAATTGTTCAAATATGACGTAAACAATTATAGAGCTTGGTTACTCCAGCCAAATGATGCAATTAGTAAATCTCCAATCACATGTTAAACATGATATTCTCATTCCCACGGAACCAGCTAATGTTTACCAAATTATAATTCTTTTTATGTATCAATCTGTCACTCATTCACTCAGTTTGATTTAAGTGCATAATTAGAAAATATTAATTAATATAATGCTACTAACTAAAAGAGCAAAAATTCTAGCAATAGTCTTACACGAGTCCGACTTGTGATTCCTCTTAGGACGTGTTACACTATTTCACCTGGCAATGAAATAAGATTTCATCAACAGGCTTTTATAAGCATCTATTCATAGCTATAGGTGATTGGGATGTTACGGGTGTTTTTTTTTATATCTGGATAGCATGTTAATAATAACCATCGATGTTGTCCTATGCTGGATAATCATTTAATCAAATATTGTAATGGTACATTATTATTTAATGCGCTATCGCATACTATGTTCTCTTTCCGTTGACAAGCAATTGTTAATATAAATTGGATTCAGCCCGGTTTGTATAATTAGTTGAATATGAGCTAATAGACTCAATGTAATAACTAATAATCAAATATAAGATAAATATGTACATATACCTCAGTATCAAACGTGGGCAGTAATTTTAATACAAATATATTAAATAGCCCCATTGTTGCTATACATCCTAGTAACTTCCCAAATTCTGTACAGCAAACCATTTATAGAACTAATTAAAACTACTTGTTATATCCGCTATCTTATTCAGTTGAGAGAATCATATCAATAGCCATTTATCCATCTAATCAAAACTCGTTCCTTTTGTTCTAATTGAGTAAAAACCGAAAAATAAAACGGAACGAAATGTCATTTCTGTTGCTTTTTTGTATTTAAGACAGGTCACTTGTAACTCTGCTGATCGGGTCTGAGTTAGTGAAGGGTGTCGTGGGGGTGTACGGTAGGCTTACTCTCTCTAAGACAAGTCTTAATATTACGGTCAACTGCAGATTTCTTCAAGGTCGCGAGATGTACATAGGGTTAGGACACGTGATTGTTGACAAGATTGAGGCTTAGGATCAGTGTATGGGTTAGCGTTAGCCCTGTTTACATCTCATGACCTTTGACGAAATTTGCAGTAGGTCTTAATATTTAGACCTAACCATTTCGCATAGCTAATTACTTTTATTTTGCACTATGTGATTTTAAACATTGCACAATTATTAGTCAGTCGCTTTGAAAAACCTTTGGAAACACAGTTTCTAGATGAAGGATTGTAAAATGTTATCAATCACTTTTGATCCTTGGTCATGAATTATCCAAAAAGGTTAATTATTCATCCTCAATGAAATGTCCCTTAACGCGATAATGATTATTGGCAGTGTCTATTAATAATGGGAAGGATGAATACAGACACTGTGCTTGCTATAGCCAAATAGCTTCCCAGTATAGTAGAATATATGATATGCAATCAGTTTGAGAAATGTCACACGCCTTATAGAATGCCAACGAATATGTTGCATGAAGCTCTCTGACATTTCAGCAATGAAACCGTCGTCAAGTGGGCGCTGCGACGTATTGCACAAGTGGTGAGCCTATAAGAGAATCCGGACGTTGTCACATGTATCTATTTTCCAGTGACATGACATACAGGGTTCGCACTGATCAATGACAAGCGGTAAATAGTTTTCTTTTTATAAGCATACTCGTTTAGGCGAGTGAATACACGACAGAAGGTTAGCTAATTTTACTGTCGAGATGACTTTTTAGATGACCTTCTTTTTTAAGATCTTCTGAGAGATGCTAATGTTTAATTAATTACATGTAATTAAAAGTGCAGTTATGGTTTTTTTTCTTCTGATTGTAGGTAAGATAAAGTGAAGACCTGCAGTGGAACTATCTAGTCAATTCAGATGGGTTTGTCATGTCATAGAGAATGCCAAAGGCCGGTTCACGTCTTAATACTCGTATCCAAGAGTTCGAACTTTGGCGAAAAGATGGCGACTTCTTCAAGGAAGGGGAGTATGCCAAACGTCGAAATCAAAGACGAGAAAGAGTCAATGTTATAGAAAGTGATCGACGATTAAAACGGTGGAAAAAGTTGTATGTCCCCGCTGTTTTAGGCATGATGACGGGTTCGTTTCTTACCTTAGCTTCCACTGTGCACGGTTTAGGTAAAAACACTATTTTCTGGTCAAGCAAGGAGGTGTTTCATGTCATAGGTCCAGTGTTTCTTGTGACGGGTTTATTTTTTCTAATGATAGCCGCGGCATTTTCTCACAGAGAAGAAGAAAAGTTACGGATTAAGTTAGGATTACCGAGCATGTTTCCCCAAAGTATCAAAACGTTGCCGAGTGAAGAGAATACTTCTATTACAACGGTGAGTGAAATGGAGTCCTCACATTCCATATCAGACAGACTGGCTTCAAAACCGAGAGATAAAAAATGCGTTCGATATAACTGGGGGGAATTATCAACGGATTCCACCGAGGCAGCGTCATTTGTGGATGGCACTTCTTCATTTAACACAACACTTGACAATGATCGTGAGAAAAATTCGCGTGAATTGAAACACTTGATAAATTATTCCAAAAATACGTTACCTCAAACAAGACGCAATAAACGAAGATCTTTAAAACGTAACATCAGTTTTCAGTCGGATGTTTACTCCATTGCCTCTGATATGGTCTTTGATCACGAAAATGAAATAACGCGAAAGGGTTTCGGACCTTTAAAAGAAACGGACATTGATGTGTATTGTGCTATGGAGGAAACTCGGTGTAAGTTTAATGAAAATAAGAGTGCTATGAACAAATGTGATTCATTACCAAATATGGTCGAACATGATAAACAAACCTGTACACTGAATCCGATAAAACAAGATGACGTGGAATCGAACGAACCTCTGATGGGATGTCAATCAACAAAGCGGGTACAAATAAAATCAAAAAATTCCAATGGAACGGCGCAGGAAACGGACTGTAGTATATCGAACGGGAAAAAAGAACGCTCTCGCGTCTTTTGTTTCCATAAACTTGTCAAGGACAGATTCGTGTCGTCTGCCTCTGAGACATCTTCTGGTTATTCTAGTGGGACCAATATGGTGGATACTGATCAATTTGAGTTCTTCACGTCATTTGACAGTGAACCGGAAGGAGATGTTATTGGACTGTGTTAATATTAAAATATTTAGTTCATTGTAAATAGTTTATCATTCACTTTATCTCCGAGTTTGGAATTTCCAAATTGTTTGATTGTTACAGTATCATACACCCAAGAAAATATTAACTTTTCCTGTGTTACTAAATTGTGTCCACAATAATCACTATCTCTTGTGCTAAGCAAATTTGTAGACACGAAATATATACTAATATTGATTAAAATAGACCTGTCTCATTTGGGTCAAAAATAAAATTGTCGATTCCAAAGAATTTTATTCGTTGATTTGAGAATCTGTAGATATAGCCAGTGTCGGGTTATTTTTTTGTATTGACAACGGTAAGCCCCAAATTAAACTAAGCTTAGTAAACTTTTACTTAAAGGTGCATTATGCAAGCCTTGGATAGAGAGCTGGTCGTTCATGCTATAAGCTAAAAATAGGTAATGGAAAATGAAAATATTGAAAGTTTCAGTCAAATTATTTTATTCTGAACGTAGTTATGAGAGTTTGATGTTTTGACAAGATTAGTATCAATTGTCAAGTACTATTTCTACGATAATAAACAGTCTAGATTATCCATTTTAAAGGTAAATTTTTAAATGGCGCTGATGCTCTAATCGATTTAATATCTCGACCATCCGAAGTCCTAGAGAGTTTATTATGGGTTTATCATGTGCATAAATAATAATTTTTCTATATTTGAAACCAGAAAAAAGACCTGCAATAGGCAGATTTACCTTTTACATAAGGAATCTTTAATCTTTGGAATCATATATTTAATGGTACAGAGCTTGTCCCATCGCTTGTGGAAATAACACATCAGATCAAACCAATTCAAAACTTTATTTTTTACCTAAATAAAAGCGGTTTGGATCCTTTAATTTTAGGTAGTATTATAATAATCCCAGATTTTCGTAATCCTAACTTGTTTGCTGTGTTTAATTATAGATAATGTCAGTGGTAGACAGATTATCGTCACGGGGATGATCAATCTGATTGAAACACAGATCCTATTTCGTTTCGTTTTTTATAGTTCAAAATTTCGTTTTATTTATCTGTACTGGTTTATGGCGTGAGGGATTAGCCAATGAAACCATCTGTTACGACGACATCTTGGCGTGGGTAAACCACTAGAAACGTCAACGCTGATTGATTACTCAATGTCTGACGTCATAGGGTCAAAAGCCCCTCGTACGACTCCTGACGCGATCTTCCAGTACAACTGGTCAGATCTTCATGTAGCGTAGGCCATCGAAAGTATTAAAAACGAAACGAAATATAGATCTGTATTTTAATCAGATTGGGGAACGATAAATTGCTATTATTTATGGTGGCTGATAGTGGCCATGTTAAATCTCGCCCTTTTCATAACGCGACAACACGACATCACGACAGTATTGACGCAATCATACGACACTTTATTCTGTCGTATCATCGTGTTATTTTTATCGTAACGTCGAGATGTCGACTTATTGTCCTAGTCTCTTTCTACAAGTCACAAAAATACAGCTGTACTCATTACATCATATATAGGCCTAAGTAGTAGATTTGATAAATATAAAAGAGATAGTAGGAAAACGTTGATTAATTATTTGTTTTCTCAAAATAATGAAACATTTTGTGTCCACAAGTGAATTATATTTGGTATTATATTTAAAAAATCTAGAATTAAAATAGCAGGACCAAAGTGAGTTAGCTAAGTTAATTCCTTGAAGAAAAAGTGGTGTCGGGAGGTATCGAACAAGTAAGCATTCATTGCCATGTGTACGACACCCACCAATATTTATAGATGACTGGAGCGATAGGTTAAAAATGATTTCAGAAGACAGGGTGGGAAGGGGATTGTAAAAAAACCAAATCGGGTCACATTCTTTAAAATCACAGCATTATCATAGTGCAGCACATCACCCCAATAGTTGCAGGAGATTTTTTGAATGAGGTGGAGAAAACGATTCGCAGCCTGTCATTGAGTCAACTGGCGTAGTTTTGAATCCCCGGTTGTACGTGACAAGGTGTAGGGTCGCCTGTCAAACCTCGTGGGTTTTCTCCGGGTCCTCCGGTTTCCTCCCACTGCTAAAGACCCCTACGCGCAAACGATTTATTGAAATAAAATTAAACCATATGTTAGTCCCGAAATGACCTAATTTGTGTCGAGTGGGCGTTTAACCCCCCTCTCTCTCTCTCTCTCTCTCTCTCTCTCTCTCTCTCTCCCATTTGACATCACTAATGGGATTGAGGCCTAGATGAGTAAAAATAGGCCCAGTAATATCTTCAACTATGAACACACTCTAAAAGCCTCATACCCCCCCCCCCCCCCCACGTCACCCAAATAGATGCAGGAGTTTTTTTATGAGGTGGAGAAAACGATTCGCAGCCGTTATTGACCTTATCGCATATAGGCTGCCATCCGTTTGACATCACTGATGGGATTGGGGCCTAGATGAGTAAAAATAGGCCCAGTAATATCTTCAACTACGAACACACTCTAAAAGCCTCATACCCCCCCCCACCCCCACGTCTCTTATTTAGTTTTACAAATAATTCCAGAATCAATAAAATGGTATCAATGATGTTTGATATAACTGGAAAATAATATGTCAAAAATTGATTAAACATGAGAAATATTATTACATATTGAATCCGTATCAGTGATAACGTACATTTACTCAATATGTTCCTTCCAATGGATCATCATTTAACATGAAACAAGGAAAGCAGCGATCGAAGAAAAAGATTTAAAAACACACACATTTCAATATGACAGTAGTGATTCGGTCATGCATTTACATTCGAGAGTGTCATGCTTTCTTTGAAAGTAATGATTGTGCCAAATTTGAACAAAGTAAGTTTACATTCGCGGCCTATAGGTAGAGTGTTGACAGATCAAACGTAAAAAAAACAAAGAAAAAACCAGACCTATAAAAATATATTTCTAAAACTCTTTTAATTTTGAAATAATATTGTTTTCGCGTGTGCTAAGTGTTTCAGCGAATACATGTAGTTACAGAAAGGGTCTTGTAGATTAAGACTATAGCGCATGTGCAGTTTCAAACTTCCGAGACGACAAGTCGACAAGTCGATGATACGACAAAACCAAACTGTCGTATCATCGACTTGTCGACTTGTCGTCTCGGAAGTTTAAAACTGCACATGCGCCATAGTCTTAATCTACAAGACCCTTTCTACAACTATTCGCTAAAACACTTATCACACGTGAAAACAATATAATTTCAAAATTAAAAAAGGTTTAGAAAATATATTTTCATAGATCTGTTTTTTTTAAGGTGTTATCTGTCAACCCTCTGGTATAACTACAGACTGCGGAACTAGATGTTCAAATTTGGCATAATCATTACTTTCAAAGACAGGATGGCATGAAATGAAATGAAATGGGGTTTAACGTCCTACTGTTCTCTCCTAAGCTGGGCTAAAGACGACGGGCATACGCCATACAGTGTGCTATGAGGGAATTTTGCCCGGGAAGCGGCGCTACGGCCCGCTCTTATATCGAAATCCAACTGCCAAGGGATCTTTTACGTGCACGCCAATGTGTACACGGGACCTCGGTGTTTCGTCCCATCCGAACGACTAGACAGCTGTCATTGTCAGGCCTTCCGTCCTGCATCACTGACAAGGGGGAACCACGCCGGTAAATCTTGATGAATTTTGTCGGCCAATGCAGGGATCGAACCAATCTGTGAAAAAAGTCGTCTAATATCTCTGTAAAAGATGACTGTTTTCAACACATGCAATCACGTCACGCGGTGTCAATCATTGGACCAATGGCGCGTGCATCGTTTATATAAGACGTAACTGCTTCGGGTAGAATGATGCCTTTTACTCATTTTAATACCCATTTACGCTACATAGGAAATATTTTTTACCTACATATACTTCAAATGTCTTTATTTATTTTTCTAATACATAAAAAAAAATGTTTTAGAATTAAATTTGTCGGAGGAATAATGTTAATATTGGGGACTCATTAAGTCGCATCGATGTCATCCTTATCAGAGGCCTAGCGAATATTCACTTCTGATCAGTGTGGGATCGAACACCCGACCTCCAGGCTAGCTAGCCAGCGTCTTGCCCACGTAGCCACGCCTAGACACTGCGACTCCTCCGCAAAATATCAAGCACCAAAAACAATGGATCGAGGCCTAGATGATTACACACTATGAAAGCCTCATACGCCCCCCCCCCTCCCCCACGTCTCTTATTTTGTTTTACAAATAATTTCAGAATCAATAAAATGATATCAATGATGTTTGATACGACTGAAAAATAGCATGTATAACATTGATTAAACAACATAGGTAGTAATGAGAAATATTACATATTGAATCCGTATTAGTGATAGCGTAGATTTACTCAATACGTTCTTTCCAATAGAACATCATTTAACTTGAAACAAGGGAAACAATCGATCGAAGAAAACAGATTTAAAAAAAAAAAAACAGGTTTCAATGTGACAGTAGTGCTTCGGTCATGCATTTACCTCCGAGAGTGCCACCCTTTCTTTGAAAGTAATGATTGTGCCAAATTTGAACAAATTCCATCTAGATTCGCGGCCTGTAGGTAGAGTGTTGACAGATCAAATGTAAAAAAAAAACCAAAAAAACCCCCCCAAAACCCCACCTATAAAAATATATTTTCTTAAACTCTTTTAATTTTGAAATTATATTGTTTTCACATGTGCTAAGTGTTTTAGCGAATATTTATAGAAGGTAATATAATCCTTTAGTGGCATTTAGCAATTGGAAACATAACAAAACTGACACAGTTATATGGGACAACAATCACTGTTTTATTATACACAAGCACAAGAGAATACTTATCGAAACGCTGTGCTTGTGTATAATAAAACAGTGATTGTTGTCCCATATAACTGTGTCAGTTTTGTTTTTTTATTTATAGAAGGGTCTTGTAGATAAAGACTATAGCGCATGTGCAGTTTTAAACTTCCGAGACGACAAGTCGACAAGTCGATGATACGACAGTTTAGTGTTTTGTCGTACCGTCGTATCATCGACTTGTCGTGGCGATAAGTCGATGATACGACAGCACGACAAAATAAGGTCGATGATACGACAAAATCAGACGATCTTACGACAGTTTGTTCTGTCGTAAGATCGCCCGATTTTATCGTAAGATCGTGTGATTTTGTCGTGCCGTCGTATCATCGACTTATCGCCACGACAAGTCGATGATACGATCTTACGACAAAATCACACGATCTTACGACAAAATCACG